TCCAGGATTCTAGATTTACAAAGCCATTATTCTCTCTTGTCATGGAGAGTTTGAAAAAGCATGTTATGGCCTCTGATCTGATTGCACAGGAATCGTCAGAGATCTAGTGTTGCTTTCAGTCTCTCATTAGGCCCAAGAGCCCCTGCCTACCCTTCTTGTCTAAGAGTTATTGCAGCTGCAGCAAGGCTTGTAAAAGCCTCAAGTTAATGGAACCAATTTATTCTAGCATCTCTATCAAACTCAATAATTTCCCTGCTTCACTTATTGGTAAGAAAGAACCCACTGGATTTTTCAGCTAGATAGTTAATCTCCTAAGAAATTTGTTGATTTTCCTTCAAACATCACCACATATCACTGTAACACTCAACCCAGTGGTTCTCCTTTCCTCAACTATAGAAAAAGATGCACATGATTTTGTACTTCTGCTCAGCAGCAATCCATATGCTGCATGGATGTGTAACCTCTTTAATATCTTTGATTCAATCTTGCTTGTTATTGATTCATAATTTTTTTTGGTACTGGGATTCGAACTCAGGACCTTGCACTTACTAGGCAGGCACTTGTGCTGCTGAGCTATATCCCCAGCCCTGTTGATTCATATTAGCAAAGAAAATCTAAAAAGTGCCAAGTAAGTTATGCAATCAGTGACTTGAATTTACTCTTGAAATATAAGCTTCAGGGTCCAGGGATATAGCTTAGTGGCATAAGTGCCTGCTGGCAAGCACAAGGTCCTGAGTTTGATTCCTGGTACTCATCCAACAAAAAAATAAAAACAAAAAAAAAAACAAAAAAAGCAGGGGCTGGGGATTTAGCTCAGCGGCACAGTACCTGTCTGGCAAGCACAAGGTCGTGAGTTTGGTTCCCGGTACCAGAAAAAAAACAAAAAAAAAAAAAAAAGAAAGAAAAGAAAAGAAATATAAGCTTCTCCTGAATATAAAAATCAGTCTTAATAGTTAAATTAATTGTACTCACCCAGATATGCCAGCTGACAAAAATTACAGATATTTATACTGACTTAAGGTATATAAAGTTAGGTGAGTCAATGAATTCAAAATAGTTTAGAAAGTGTGATCTTTTGACACTACAAAAAACCCTATGAAATAGTGAATTAAGATGATTTACCTACAAAGTGAGCCATAATAAAAGCAGAAGTTAGCCAAACTGCTTCACAACATTCCTACAATAGCAGAGAAAAAGTTGACTATGATATTAATCCAGCATTTAAATAACTTTAAATGGGTTAATTTAAAAGGTACTGCCAAGAATGTTCCAACACATTCCTGTTGTGATCAATTAATTTTTAAAGCCCCTAGCAATGTAGTTTGCCCCACTAGGACAGTCCCTATTGTGGATACCAGGCTTCCACTCACTTGCTGCACATTAATTATCCTGCGTATTCAGGATCATAGGGAATTTCTGATGTTTTCCACTACCTCCCCTTTCTGAATCATGTTTCTTCAAAAAGAACCCACAGGAACCTTCACATAAGGCAAGCTCAGGCTACCTGTGTGATCCCTCAGAAGGAGACCTGATTCCCTATGGTGCACACCTTGCAACTGATGGCTACAAAAGCTGGGCTAATGCAACCACACAGGATCATCCAAAATTGATCTTTGACAACTTTTTTGGAGGCATAGGTTTAAATTTTGATTCATTAGGCAGTGTTATAATTTAGATATGACATGTCCCCCCTAAAAATCTCATGTGTTTGCAAGTTGGCTGGATCATGGGAGCACTAATCTACTAATGAGTTCAGCAGCTGAGTGTGCTGTTAGGAGGTAGGGCCTGGTTACAGGCAGGCCACTGGGCGTGTGATCTGGAAGGGTGTATCTCCCTTCCCGGCAGCTCCTCCCCGCATCTCTCTCTCTGCCACGTGGTGTGAGCAGCTTCCCTCTGCCAGGCCCTTCCACCCGTACTTTCTGTGTTTGAGCCTGCCAACAAGGACTGGAATTTTTGAAACTGTGAGCCCGAAGAAACCTCTCCTTTAAGTTGTGGGTTTCAGATATTTTGTCCCACCAATGAGAAAATGACCGAGACAGGCAGAATTGTCGTGGATAACCACATTGTCCTTAACTTGTTTTTAACTAACCAGAGAAAATTTTGTGAGTGAACACTTCTGACTGTATCTGCATGAATGCTACAGAACTGCCCGAGGCTCTGGAGGACAAACATCCTGGATGTCTAGAAAATAACAAGTGGATTTTGGGAGGATGCCATTTGTGTCTCTCTTTTCAGAATCTGTTATAAGAATGAATTACTATATCTGTTTCTGCAAAAATCATGCTTCTCTGAATTCTATCTACAAAGTACCTAAAACAAGCACAAATTCTATTATAATTCCTAACACCCTCTTCCTGAGATACCTCAGTTTCCATTTATTTTCATTCAAAACCTTTAATATAGAAAGCACTCCTTCAATGATTAGGAGGTATAATGTTTCCTTACTTACAGGTAGTTGGGGGTACACAGCATGTCTGGGGGCCCACACAGAGGTCAGAGAGTACAGATGGGGGGACCCAAGGGGCAGGGCTTTTACTCATTCAGTGCTTCCCATTGGGGAGTTCTAATGAGTGGCTCTAAAGTAAGTAGACACAAATTCCAGAAGCAACACTGGATATGTTATTGTGACATACCTTCACAGTCCATGTAGATGATAGTCAGCAAGGCCAGCCAAGTAGGA